GGTCAGACTGTTCTGGGAGGTAGCCAGTGAGAGAAGAGGCATCAGGCACAAATTAAAATAGAAAAATTGCTTACAGACATAAGAAAAAGCTTTTCCTACAGGAGGGTGGTCAAACACTGGAAGAGGTTGTCCTTAGTGTGGTGGACTGTTGATCACTGGAGAGACTCAAAACATCACTGGGAAAGGCCCTGACCAATCTACTCAGGTTTGAACGAGGGCTGGACTGGAGGATCTCCAGAAGTCCCTTTAATGTCCATAATTCCATGGTCCAAGTCTGTATTGGCCTCTCTGACATCAAACCCTGGCAGAGAACCTCACCACCCACCTTCTAAACAAGTGAAAAGCATGGAACCATTCTCATTTATTTAGGGCAGCTATTTGTATTTACTTAGGAACTGATCACAATGTTGGAGGGAGAAGCTGGCTTTAAATCTTTTTTTTTAATCACCCCAAGAATTCTTGTGAAGCACCTGCAGTTTGTTCTGATAGCATCCGCTGTGTCAGAAAATAAAGACTTGTTGCTGTTTGAAATTAAATTTAGTATGAATATTAAACTACTGAACTGCCATTTAACTCTGTTATGCAGAGGAAATTCACCTCATCTTGTTTCTAAGTGCAGCCAATTTTGTAAGGAACATAGCTTTGACAAAGATATCTGTTTAATTTCTCCATAGTTTTTCACACAAGGTAGTAAATAGTCAAGCAGCTAATTGCACCTGCAGGTTTTTTAATTTATTTTCCACTTCCTCCTTCTTCTGAAGAGCAAGTTGTTTGTCCACATCTGCAATGTTAGCACATTCTTTTGCTTCTTTGGCCTCTTTTTCCTATGCATCACGTGCCTGGGAGAAAGATCTCCAGGATCAAAAAAATAATTATTTTTTTTAATTAATAACAGAAAAGCAAATTCAAAGGCTTTAAATATGCAGATAATCTCTAATTTTAGACATAATAATGCATTTACTGTCAATTTAAATCTTCTCCCTACTTATCCTACCTTCTAATTAACAACTGTTCTTATTTGTCTTGATGTCATTTTTTAGAAATGTTACTGTTGCTTGTCTGAAGACAGAAGCCTTTTTGGAGTTCTATAAATGGAACACATTTTAAATCTTAAATTCATAATTTAATGTCGAGAGGCATCAAAAACTATCAAAATTTAGTACTGCTACTTGGCTGCTCTTGTCACCGGGAGAACAACGTGAGGGGAAGGAAAGGACAACAAATGATTTGAGAGAGAACACCTCTGCTGTAGAAGCAGGACCAGAGAGTTGGGACTGTGTAGCCTGGAGAAGGGAAGGCTCCAGGACTTCTTGTTGTGGCCTTCCAGTGCCCCATGGGGCTGTGAGAGAGTTGGAGAAGGGCTTCCAACAAGGGCAGGTAGTGATAAAACAATGGAAATGGCTTTGTGATAAATAGGTGTGATTCGTGCTGATAAAATTGAAACAGTAATCAATATGAATATAGTAATCAATATTTGGAAATAACAAAATGGTTAAAAAGGTAAAAAGCTAGGAAAGCGGAGGGGAAGGGTCCACCCCCCCTTTATCTTCTGCAGATGTTCAAGGCAGGAAAAGGAGTCAGATAAAGTTTGCTAAAATTAACTGAAAGAAAGAAAACTTGGGTGGAAATCAGAAATATGTTAATTTACAAGATTTATTATATTGGCTTATATAATTTTGGTTTTGGCATATACGATATTAGCTTGGTGCGCATGTGTAACCCAAAGGTGAAATAAAGGACACCTGATGAAGAGGAGCGGCCTTCATCTGGACGACCCCCAAAGAGTGGGGCGACCCCCTAAAAGCTGGTGGCGCATGCGCAGTGAAGATGAAGATGAAGGTGGAGACACCAGTGTGATGAATTGAAAATAGGAGGGGATGCTGATAATAGACAGTATAAAGGGGGGAATTTTGGGCTTGGCAAGCTTGTACGTGAGGTGGCAGGGGTCCCAAGGCCCTCGCGCTCCGTACCCCGCGGTAATTTTGCTTATATGTCATTACCTGAACCAGACTATATTTTATTATAACCAAATTATACTGCCCATTTATTGAATGTAACTATTTCATTTAAATTTTATTAAAATTATTGTTATATTTAATTTTGTTTGGCCTTTTATTTGTGATTGGATAATTGGGCAAACATAACAGCTTTAGGATAGAAGATGATTGGTTTCCATTAGATACTGGGAAGAAATCCTTTACTGTGGTAGTGGTGAGGCACTGGCACAGACTGCCCAAGGAAGCTGTGAGAGGAGAAACCCTGGAAATGTTCAAGGCAAGGTTAGATGGGGCTTTGAGCAACATGGTCCAGTGGAAGCTGTCCTTGCCCGTGGCAGGAGGGAGGGGCTGGAAGTAGGTCATAGTTCAGGTCCCTTCCAACCCCGGGATTCAGGGATTCTAGTGTGAAAAACATTCCTGTGAAAATTCCTGTTTACTCTCCTGTGAAAATTTAAAAAGTTTAATAAAGGACAATAGGAGACAAAGATAGTAAAGCAAGGATTATGGCCCAAGAGCACACTGTTCTCTTCGGGGATACCCCTTAAATACCTTTTTCCTTACGTCAGCCTGTTGCATATTCATAGACCCTTATGTATAATAAACTTTTTCCCAAACTAGTTTACATGATCTAAGAATTGTTCAGCATATCTCCTCCTTGGAGCCACCTTTTTAGAGCATGGGTATTCCTTGGTTGTGGTTTTAGTCCTTTTTTATCACCTCCAGTTTTTGGGCCTTGGTCCACACTGCCTTCAGACTGTGAGTGCCGACAGTTGGCAGATCTGTACAGGTGTCCTCATCCTGTGTTCATTGGGTGTTATCCCATCCAAGCAGGATCACAAGCATACTTATATCAGCTATTTCACTACTATGTCTAAGCTTAATTAATACCTGAAATAAAAAACTATATCTTTATAACAAAGTTACTTTAACACTACCCATATAAAATCCATTTTAATATTTACAAAAAGTCAATATTATAATATGTACCTATAATGCTAGGATTTGCTGAACCTCTGACTGCCATCTGATGCTCAGATGCTGTCCAGGTGCACTACACAACTGCAGCTGGTGGCAAGCCTCTACTTCTGTGTGTGTGGGTTTATCATTTGGAAAAGGTACAGGACAGAGTATCTGAGATGGAGGGAAGAGAGAAAACAAGCAGAGAGACAAGAAAGTAAGAAGAGACAAAAGAGAGACTACAAGGGGCAAAGCAAAGAGGAAAGAGAAGAAAAGAGAGAGAGAGGTGGAGAGGGAGCAGGACAAAGATGGCCAAGAGAGAGGGAGAGAGATAAGAGGCAGGGGAGTGAGCAAAAGAGAGAGAGGGTGAGACCCAGACAAAGTCAACACAAACAAAAAATAGTAAATCACAGCAAAGAAAGAAGGAAGAAAAAGAAAAATCTTTATTACAATATCATAGCATTACTTATTTTCAGTTACACTTCCTCAGATACAGTTCTGTGCAGCTTAGTCATGTGACAGCTCACTATTTTAAAATTTTATAGAAGTTTATTAAGGGATAAAAGGGATAAAATGCAGTGCTGGGGTGCTTGGCTATTTGCCAAAAGCACATAGTTAACTTAGCAACGTGTTCTCTATATGCTGTTACATTACAGGGGTACAAGCATATTCATAAGAGTTTATACATATTCAAACATTCCTTTGAGTTTTCATGTTCTTTTGCTTGTTTTAATCTTTGACTTGTCTTCATGCCATCTTGTAGATTAAACCAATATATTTTATTTCTTCTTGTGGTTCCATCCTTTTGTATTTTTACTCCCTGATAATGAGGGACCAATAAATTCTTCTTTTTTCTTTTGGTACTCTGTTTTTTGTTTCCATTATCTTGTCGATGCGATGATTAAGATAAGATAAGATAAGATAAGATAAGATAAGATAAGATAAATGAGATAATGTGTGAAATCACCCACAATTATTTCACACCATTTTCTGAGTTAGTTACATGAAAAAGCATTTTAGCATTTCACAGTCTCTACTATACTACAGTCTAAGATAGGATATATTACACTACTATTTATAAAATCTATATGGTATATGGTATATGCATAAACTGACAGATTATACTGTATCAAAAGCAGTAATTTCAAATTGTACTCTATCAGGATTTTTGTGATCAATTATACCTTGCAAAGCAAAAGTTAACACATAAATCGAAAGCTAATGACTATATTTGTTATTTATATCAGTCATTTGAGAGTAAAATTTGACATCAGTTTCAATACAGATTAATACAAGAGCACAGAGTGACAGGACAAAAGGGAATGTCTTCAAACTGGTAGAAGTTTTCAGAGGAGCTCTAATTTGCCAAATGTGCTTCTTCTACCTCAGAAAGGAGCATGATGAAATCTTGCAGGACTGATGAGGACAAACTGGGAGATGTTGGTGGCAAGTGGGTTTTTTTCCTTTCTATTCTGTTGAAAAAGGGGGTGTGGCAGCCTGGGACCAAGGAATATTGATGGCAAAGTGCTGATGGGTGACAGAATCCACCTGACAGCAATGTTTATCCCCTTCCCTGAGGTTGCAAGACCTGTTTCTGTGTGTGTGTGTGTGTGTGTGTGTGTTAGCATGACATGAAATAAAAAAATAAGTAAAATAAAGGCAAAAAGTCCTAGCAGGTGGCAGGGCCCCTGAGGGGTTTGGTGTGCACATTCCCACATGTGTCCCCAGCTGATGGGATCGCTGTGGCCACGCCGGCGCAGAGCTGTGTTGTGCTGCCGGGACAGTTGCTTGGAAAAAGAAGGAAAAAAAAACCCTAAACAAATCGAAGAGGAAAAACTCACCCAGGCAGGCAGCAGCAGGCTCCGGCGTGGTCGAGGTTTCCAAGGCTACTGCAGCCACACTGCCAGCTGGGACACGGCCGCTTTTGGGGCCGTTTTGTACAATATCTAGTGTTTGAGGTGGTAGAGCCACTCGTGGCTCAGGTTGTGTGTTGGGGGGGAAATTGCTGACTGAGGGTTTATTTGTTTGGTGCAAGCCTTGCCAACAATGCGAGCTTTCTTGAAGAGCTCGGAGGGGTGTTTCCAGCTGAAATCCTACACCACGACCATCGGGAGCCACAGAGGGGCCGACATCGTCCTGCAGGTAGGGCCGAGGCAGCTGAGAGCTGAGCATCCTAAAACGGGAGGGGGATGGAGGGAAGGGCAGGGGATGTGCTGGAGCCCTCCGTGCAAAGTGTGGAGGTACCAGTTTGTGCTGGGACTGACGGCCAGGAAAGGGGTTTGGCAAAGCAGGAATGAACCTGGAGCCACGTCCAGCAGCGTTCCCTTCCTGTCCCCTGCCTGCTCCCAGTCTGCAGGGGTAGCAGATCGCCATGCAGCCCTGGAATTCTCCGCCTCAGACAACAGCTTCATCCTTCAGGACTTCAACTCCCCCCACGGCACCTTTGTCAACAGCTGCCAGGTCCAAAACGCGGCCGTCAGGGTGAGGCCGGGGGACATCCTGAGCTTCGGCACTGCGGGAGCATCCTTCCAGCTGGTGCTGGATGGGGCTGCCCAGGTAGGGGTGGGGATGCCCAGGGAAAGGTGCCCAAGAAAGGGTGGATGCCATGGCCCCTGGAAGGATGCCCGGGCAAGGGTGGGTGGGGATGTCCAGGGAAAGGTGCCCGGGGAAGGTGGGTGGGTGGGTGCTGATGCCCAGGGAGGGCTCCAGAAGCAGGAACTCGCTCCCAGCTCATCTGGAGATCCTGAGGAAAGGTGCCAAAGGTGAGCATCAGGAAAATCCACAAACGCCAGAGGTTTATGTCCAAAAAGGAGACAGAGGAATCCTTCGTCTTTATTCAGATAAATAATTCTCCCAATTCATCTCCCAGATTTATTTATTTAATTATTTATTAATAATTTATTCAGATAAATTATTCTCCCAATAAAGGGCGAGAGTCCACTGGGACACGTGCCCCTGGGGTTTTCTCTCTCTCGGGGTTTCAGAGGGCACAGCCTCCTTTTATCCTAACTCCCGGCCGCATGTTGCCCTCTTCCTTTTCCCACTGGCCGAGGTACTGGGAAGATACAGCCTTCCCGAACCACCTACCACATTTCCCCTTTGAACCTACTGGTTTGCCACAAAGTTCAGGAGTTCAGGCTTGTGCAGACCCTTGCCTATCTCAGGAGCCGAGCTGTCTGGGCTCTGCAACAAACCTGCCCAAAGTCAATAGAGACATTAAGATCCATTTCAAAAACATGAACACCCATACCTTCACCCATCAAATTATTTGTAAAGACATTAGCACGCATCTTTCCTGTCACGGGGGAGGAGGAAATTAAAAGCTGGAGCTCCCTCTGCTGAAGAAACTCAGGCAGTTCGGTAGGAAAATGGAAAAGCACGGGTCAGAGATGCATTAGCAAAGGAAGACCTGGAAAATGTCCTTTCCCTCTCTTTGCATTTTCTGTTTCTTCCCAAGCCACTTAACAAGAGAGAAGCTGGGTTTCAAATAAAACATAGAGGAATGGATAATCCCCAGTAATATTTTTATTGTTTTGATTCTTGAAGAATCCAAGATGCTGCCTAGGTAAAGCTAGATTGTGCTGGAGCAGTGAGCAGTTGAATTCCCAAAGGCAGTGAGCACAGAATTGGGTCTGCACAACAATGCAGAGCCTGTCCATGGGGTGCCTTTTCCTCACCCTGGGATCCCCCTTTGGAGGGGCAGCTTTGAAGCCTGACCCTGCTGTCTGCAGGGAGGGAACCACCTCACTGTGAAGCGTCTGACGAGGGGAGGGATCGCTCCTCTGAGTCTGAGAGAAGGTGCTGTGCAGAGAAGCACACCCAGCTGGGAATCACACCCTGCCTGCCCAGACAGGAACTCTGTCAGGTTTTTGTGCCATTCTGCTGGGAGCCAGTGCCGTGGGCAGCAGCAGGAGCAAAGCAGCAGGGCTGGGATGTGCCCTGGGAGAAGGGAAGGTGCTGGAGGTGCAGGGAGCCTGCACTGGGCTCTGGGGCTCTGTTAACAGTGGGGGTTTGAGGGACCCACACCTGGCTCCGACCCCACTGGCAGATGTTTAATACAGCTCTTGTCACTGAGACCTTGGTGGTGGCTTGTCCCCACTGTCCTGGAAAGCTCTGCTCTTTCGGAGAACAGCACACAGTGTCCTAATTGCCAATCTGACAGGCTCAGCTGATGCAAAGACAAGAACACAATGAGAGGCTTTGGTTTGCCTGGGAGAATGGGAGAAACAAATGGAATAGGACCATATGTGAGCCAGGAGAGCTGTGAAAGGAGTGCTGCTTGATGGTGCAAATGATGTGCAGAATTAGGGCAGTCAGATGGAGAGGGAAAAGTTCAAAAAGCAGAAAACCCCAATAATTTTCTTCTGTTTCAGCAAAGCATCTGGATGCCCTGATTCAAATCTGATCCTTGCGTAATGGAAATGGGAAAAATCTAAAATTGTGCTTCTGCTGAGATCTGTGCCTGGGTTTTCTACAACACAGTGCACAGGAATCCAGGGCTAAAATATTTCCTAAAATCTTGCAGATAACTTGGTACTTTCCCACCACAGATGTCCTGTCCTCCTTTGAAACGTCGCATGGGGTGGAGTGGGCAGCTCCAGGTGGTTGCAGAGCCCAAACCCTGGACTCCTGCATCTCCTCTGTGCCTGCCCTCGCTGAAGGGGCAGCTGCCCCCCGACTCCCCGGGCAGTGGGGCCCCCAGAGCCCCTGGCCACGGGCCCCATCTGGTGCCACCAAGGCGACCTGCGAGTGCCCGGGACAAGAGCACAGCCAGTGCCACCTCTCTGGACACCTCCAGCAGGACCTCTGCAGTGAGGCCAGGTACTCCATGATGCCAAAACCAGCCATTTGTGTCCTGGTGTCCTCACAGAGCCACTTAACTGGAGCAGAGCAGTGACAAGTGTTGAGCAACTGGGTGCGAGTCGTTGTCCCCTGGAGCTGATCAAAATCTGTGTGTGGTCCTGGGTGGCGTTTGGGTCAGGGAAGAAATGAGCTGTGCCATCCCAAGGGGAATGCTGTTGCACTTGCAGAGGGACATTTCCTCTTCCTTTTTCCTGGTGTACGACCCAGAAGGGCCATGACTGACTTTATCTGCACCACTGACTCCTGTGCCTGTTCCTGACTCTTGTGTAAAGTGGTTTTTTCCCCCTCCTTTGAAGTGACTGTCTCCAGTGAAAGCACTTTAAAATAGATCTGTATCCAATACACCTTTGGAAATAAAGTATGTGATAGAGCAGGGCAGAGGTGAGGGTTTGGCCTGGAGAATGTGACATTTGCCATGGATGTTGTGGCCTGGTGCACAGTGCTGTGCTTTTCCTGCTGTGGGGTTGGGATTTTTGAGCTGTCATAAGCAACACAAAGTCAGCAGTGAGACAGCACCATGCAGTCCCAGTGCTGAACTGGAAACCTCAGGGCAAAGGGAGGGATACACACAGCCAGGATGGCACAAACTCCTTTTTATCAGAACAGCCCAAAGGATCTCCATGCCCTAGTGGGGGAAGACAAAAAAGCACAGCTTTCTGGGGGGCTGGTCAGTGCTGAAAAATAAGGGTAGCCTCTCTCTGCTGTGTCTCTGCTGCTTTTAGGCTGTTTTAGTTCCCAGCGGTGAATTAACTTTCTCTTCTGTGCAGACTGTTTGCAGTATAAGTATTTTGCAGTCTTTTTTTTTTTGTTGTTTCTCTGCTGGTTGTGAAGTGAACTCATGCCCTGAATAGTGGCCACTGCCTTGGAGTAGTTTTGGGACAAGGGAAAAGGGTGCTGCAGGGAGCATTTTTGCTGCCTGCAGCCACCTGTCATGCTGATAATTTGCTTTCTTCCAGTCTCAGCCAGCTTCTCAGGTGATGGTGGAAGCAGTGTGGGGAGAGCCCCTCCCCTGGGGCCTCACAAGGTGGATCTCCTCCTGCAGGGGAAGGTAATGCTGAGGAGAGAAGGAGGGAGTGAGGACCCTGTCCTGGTCCTTGGAAAAGCAGGTGAATCCTGCCAAGTGTCTGTGTCCCACCAGGAGTCCCAGCAGGGTGTGGGGGCTGCCACCAAAGCAGGTGGATGGGGACAGTGGGTGACTGGAGGATGTGGGAAGCCGGGGACAGCAGGTCCCTTGCTGATGGCCTTGAGTTGGTAGCCCTGGGCAGGGGGTCTGGAGCTTCTGTGGCTGCAGAGTGACCAATGGAACCTGAATCTGCCAGCAGGGTGAGAAGCTACTGGAGGAGGAAGTGGGTCACCTTTTTGGTTTGGAAACACAGTTAAAGGGGAAGGATGTGGTGATGAGAGACCTACAGGAGGAGATCACAGCCATGGCAAAGAAACTGGCCCAGGCAGCAGTGAGGAACGAGGCAGAGCTGACCCAGAAGCTGCTCACCTTCAACCAAGAGCTGGGAGCCCAAACAGAGGAGATCAAAGCCCTGAGGGAACAGGTACTGGAGGCTTCCATAGTCACTGAGCCGGGAAAACACCTCTCAGGTACAGGTGTGTTTGTGGGGTAATACCCAGGTTTGGGAAGGAGAGGTTTGCGTGTCTGAAATCAAGGGAAATGAGGGAGAGAGGTTTCCTTCCTTCCTTCCTTCCTTCCTTCCTTCCTTCCTTCCTCCCTCCCTCCCTCCCTCCCT